ACGCCCCACACTGAGCCCCTCCAGCAACAACGGCTAACAAAGTTGTTGTTTTTTTTCCTGAAGTTCAGAGACATTTACACACTACTTTTCATTCCTCTTGCAAAAAAAAAAAAAAGAAAAAGTGATTATATGATTCGATTAAGGACTTCTTGTAAATCCGGTAATGTGAAGCTCTAAAAATTGATTGGTCGATAAAATGGTCTACTAAAATGCAGGTGTCCGATAAAATGCATTAATGAGGAGTCACGAGTCTTGGATAAAGATCCGCACTGATGGTGGGGCTGAGTACAGTTAGCCCTTACTGTTTCCACTACTGCACAATACACAAGAGGTGTGCCGACTGCCTTAAGACTCCCTTCCCTAGAAAAGGTGGAAGAAGTTATTCAGGGATCAAAAAGAAACTCAAATCTGGCCGAGCATGAAGAAACTGCTAAATCGTCTCCAATGTGCTCCTGGGGCCCGGGGCGAGTCCACCTCACCTGGGCAGCCCGAGCCAGCTGGTCCACAGCGGCACCCAGCTGATGGCCTCATCCCGGGGCTCCAGCACCTCCATGTCCTCCTGGCCCTCCTCGTCACTGCCCTCCTCCTCCTGGGGATCCCCAGACAGGGTCTCCACCACCTTCAGGACCACCGAGGACTGGCTGGCCTGGGCCTTCAGAGCCGACACCGCCTCATTGTACGTCAGCTGCGTCAGGTCCACCCCGTTGATGCTCAGCAGCACATCCCCTGGGGGGGGGGACAGGCCACACGTGCAAACGTCTCTCTCGTCCCCGGAAAACTCCATCGTGGGACAGAGAGAGGTTCAACCCAAAAACTTGACATGCTAGAGCCTATCAAGCAGGAACATCCTAAAAATGCTAAACTTAAAGACTGGCAAAAGCTACAATCAATGGGATGCAATCCTATCCTCAACCCACGCCTTAGTCAAGACATCCAAGAGTCATACAGATGGAACCAAGAAGTGCTCTTAGAGCTAAGCAATAAATATATTTCTAAGAAAATCAGATTGTTTATAGAGAAAAAGAGATGAGACAAGCAATGGCTAATAACTGAGCACCTGGAGCCTCCTTACACAAAGGGTTGTGGGAGTATGGAACAAGCTGAATCCAACACCCTGATTTCTTCCAAGAAGCTGCTGCACCAGACCCTGGGATCAATTAGCTACGAACGAATCACACGGGCCAGCGGGGCCGACCGGCTCCTGTTGCTCCAGCTCTCACCCGTGTGGATGGTGCCGTCGTGGTGAAGGCAGCCGACAGGCTGGACGCTGGTGATGTAGACGGGGACCCTGCTGCGGCTGTCCCGCCCCCCCGAGATGGTGATGCCCAGGGACATCCGGGGCTCCTTCTTCAGGCTCACGGTCTTCTCCCGGCTGGAGAATCCCCCCGGAGGGTCCTGAGCAAACACACAGACGCACACACGCCGAGGCTCAGAGCGCCGCCCCCCACCACGCCTCTCCCCCGCCGCCGCAGAGATGGGCCAGCTGGGAAAGCATGCTGACCTCATTAGAGCCGAAACACTACCTTGGGTTTTCAGCTCATAAGTCAACTGCTTGATAACGACATCATCAAATTTTAAAGTACTAATCACCGACGTGTTTGCTTTCTTCTAAACAGGACATGCTGCTTTAAATATCCTGCCTGGGAAAGATACCTCTCGTCTGCATTTTTCTCCAGCCCAAAGAAAGCTTAGCAGCTCCAGGGCCGGGCTGTTGGCGTTTCGGCCAGACGCCCCGACTGCAGCGCGGGACTCGACAAGCAGCTCTTGCGCCGCGTGCAGGCGAGTAAGCCTGCAGCTCCTCCATCGCTGGACGGAGCCAGGGTTCCGAGAGGGAGGGCAGAAAGGTGTCAGGGGCCCCACGCTCTGCCCAGCAGGGGAGTCCAGCCTCCAGCAAAGCACTGAGCTCTGCAGGCAAAGACAAACTGCCGAATCCTTTGATCCTCTGCCCACCCACACAACAAACAACCACCGCCGCCACTCCCCTTTTGATCATGAGCAAGCAGTAACGCAAATCGCTTTCCCCCCTCTGCCGCTGAGGTACGAGCCTGCTCTGAAGTGCTCGGCCTCCTCCTCTCACCCTGTTCCATTGTAAGAAGTCGGCAATTTCCTTATCATTTCTACATCCCCTGCGGAGGAAGGCTGTGGTATCTGTGGTATTCAGCTCACCACATCTCAAATGCTTCCAGAGGAAATAACACAGAGCAGCATTAATCACAGGCAGACTCAGTCTGAGCTGCCCCACCCCTGAGCTCTTAAGGAGCACTGCTCTCCAGACACAGTGAACCTCAGTACTATTGCTGTCCCAGTGGCTGTCTTTACGAGCATGAAGGAGCAGAGACAGGGTTTCGGAAGGATATCTTCCAGACAGAGCACAAGTCTCACCTGTAACCGTGTCTGTCTCCGGGACCGCTACTCCAAATGGCCACAATTACAATCTCGCAACATCATATCGGTCGTATGAGTGACAAACCCCACTATCAAACTTCCTGAGCCACGGAGCAGTTCTCGATCACAGACTCAGTAAAACGATCAACTTTAGGAAACAGTCATGCAGGAAGTCACCAATTCACAGACGGGTTTGTAAATCGGTTGGTCGGAAAAGCATTTCCCATACAGGATTTATATTACAGATGGTGGTTCAGTTCCCAATCTAGCTAACAAATTCCTATTCAACACTTTTTTTTTTGCATTCTGTATGTTCTTGCTTGTTAGTGGTGCATCAAGTTGTTTTTTGAATCGCAAATGACAGGGAACACCTTGGCTTTCACTCAGAAGGCGACAAAACAAGCAAGGTAGTGGTCCGTAGCCTGCTGTGACGCAGGCCGGTGCCTGCATGCCTCAGTTACCACAACATCTCGGAGCTCTGAGCTCATGTACGGATGTTCGTGACTCTGTGGGGGGGGGGGGGGGTTCGTGGCTCACCTTTGTGACCCTTTAAGTGGCCCTTTAAGCTTTTCGGGTTGCAGAATTTTGTGGGGGGGGGGGGGGAAGTTTCCGCCCTTCAGGCCCTGCTCCCGTGTCACACATCGCGATCGGCAAGATGCTCCCCTAGGCCCCCGTCGTGCTCACCTTCAGGAACATGGATCGGCGTCTGTAGTATTGGGGTTCGGGCCTCCTGGCCCCGCGGCTGGCGCCCTCGCTGCCCGGGCTGCCCTCCGCCACCCCTCTCCCCGGCGGCTCGGCCGGCCGCATCACGACGAAGTTCACCCGCGCCTCGCTCTGCTGCAAGAGCGAGACCACCCTTCACCCGGCTGCCAACCAACGCGCCGCTCAACAACGAGTCCGGCCGACGGCGCGCCGGGAGACGGGAGACGTACCTGGATGATCTGCGCGGCGCTCTCCGGCGTGCCGTGCCTCAGGTCGTGCCCGTTGATGGCCAGGACCTTGTCGTTGTTCCTCAGCTTGCCGTCCTTGTCCGCCAGGCCCCCTGGAAGCAGGTCCAGGATGAAGACGCCGGGCTCCTCCGACTTGCGGATCAGCTTGATGCCCAGCGGCTCGGAGCGGTCCCTCTTGAGCAGGGCCACCTGGATCACGGTCCCGGGGGCGGGGGCGGGCGGCGATGCGGACGGGAGCTCCGGCCGGGCGCTCCGGGTGGAGAAGCCCTTCTCCTGCATCACCGTGATGCGCAGGGAGGCGCAGGGCCGCCGCAGGACGGAGATGGCCTCGCCGTGAGGGACGCTGGCCACGTTGACGTCATTCACCTGGAAGACACAGCCCAGGCCGCACCTCAGTCAGCCCCTCCCCATTCACCCTGGGCCAAACCACAGCAGCCGCAGAGCGCTGTGAAGGCATCAGGAGGAGAGCGTCTGCTAGCAGACTGCAGAACCAGGGCCCCACGGCGCCACAGGAGCACCTGCCACTGGAATCGAATCAGTTCTCTGGCTAGGAGCCAGGACGTTACACGAGTATCAGTATCAGGGCATGTCAGCATGGCACGATCACAACATGACGAGATCCCTACTTAAGTGATTACTGCAGACATCGTGCTGCTGCTAAGCAAGTGAAGCTTTGTATTATGAACACAGAGCGTAATGTTTGCATAGTCCGTGTCTGGAGCTGGTTTGCTATATAAGGAGATCTGGAAACAAACACGGGACATTTGAGGTTAAGGAGACAAGTAGAACTGAACCAGAGGATCAGCATCTGTATAGTAGAAGGATTATTCACGACAAGTCTGATCATGACACCAAAGAAGGAGGGCTGGCAAACACTATAGAAGCTACCAAGGAAATTAAAAAACGATTTAGAGCAAAAAAAGTGTGCAAACACCTGGAAGACGCATTTTAATAAACAGTAGATAACTGCACTACGTTACATACAGACATCATAAAAACTATGTGAAATTTTATTATAAAGCTCACTGAAAACCGGTTGATATTTGCTGTTTCTAGACAATATGGGGAAGAGATAAAGAAATTATAGGATAGTGAAGAGTGTATAATTTAAATCAGTGATGCTATGTTAAATTGTGCGACGCATAATCCTCCAAGTTCAGCTAAACAGACTTCAATATCAGCTGTGATGCACCAACAAGAAAGCAAGTGGAAACATGGAAGAGCATTTAAAACGGAGAACATGAGGTACCTGTTACACAAAGAGTTGCAGGGGACGTGAAAAAAAGAGACCCAGTCATGTTGTTGAAGTCGATAACCTGAGAGGAAGCCAACAAACTACTGTAGATGGTTTGAATGGCCTTCTCTCACTTGGAACTTTTCTTCAGATCCGTTAACATACCTTTTGCATACAAGGCTTTTTTTGTTTTATTCAATCAATTGGCTCATGTTGACCCATGAATAAAACACGTATGGCTAGTCAAAAGTAACAGGAAGAGCACATGGATCTCAAATACTCTCTAAAACAGGACTTCCCTGCTCTGAACACCTCTGTTTAACACTAATAAAAAGATGGACTGCTGCTTTAAAGACCTGTGCAACAAAGGTTCGGTTTACTCACACAGGACTCACAGCAGCTTACAAAGGTTTTGGGAAAAAAAAGGCTTTGCATCTTGCAGCTGGCATTCCTGCTGCCAGCACAGCGAGACCCATGTGTGCACATGTCCGCGTACCCTGACCCAACAAAGCAAAGAGAGTGCTCGGGCCTCGTCAAGCCAGAATTCCTGAGACTAATCTGAGCCCATTCTGTCACCTCCGCATTCCAGCACAGCCAGCAGGAGCGAAAAGCAAGTAGCAAT